TGGATGTTAGTCACAGCCCGAGGCTCATCTCTGGTACAAGGACCACAGCCCACCCTGCTGTCATCTGTGATAGGGAGTTGAGGTCATCTTTGAATGCCTCTGCCCTCAGGAGTGACGGGCAGGGTTGGCGCAGGCTTGCTGGGCTGGGGCAGCCTGTTCTTCCTGTTGTGTCAGAAATAGATGTGCCTCAGGAAACTGCCAAGTGTGCCCAGCACAGTATAGCAGAGGCGAAATCCAAAGCAACATCCCCATTCGTCCCTCTTCAGTCATTCATCTCCTGTATTTATGGAATATCACATGCTACGTGCTGTTCTGGACTTGGAGGGTTCCAAGATGAACGATCCTATTTCCATGTGCAGAAAGCTCAGGAAATTACACCGTTCTGGATGCCAGGATGACAGGGTACCTAATCCAGCCAGGAAGGGAGTGGTGGGCAGTGAGATGTAGCTTCCTGGAGTTGGTGCTTCTGATCTGAAACTTGAGAGATAAATGGGAATTAGCCAGACAAGGAGCCAGGAGGAGGTGGTGTGGAGACGGAGGAGTGGTCTGCGTGTGGAACACCCCGGAAATGCTCTCTGGTGAGGGCTAGGGGAGAGGTGAGCTGGATACAAGCAGCTAGGCTCTTGTTGGGAGGCAGAGCATAAGGCAGGGCAGGAAGAACTGAGACTGAAGCCACTAAGAACCTGGTTACAGACAGTCTGTTATCCCTCATGAGGGAATTAGTGTACAGTCCCGTGAGTGAGCTGGTGAAAAGAGGGACCCCAACCACGAGGGAGAATAAATACAGGAAGTCTGAGTCATGGGTGGGAAGGATGAGCGTGTGTCTGCCGCACTGTGTTTAGGAGACCTGCCCACACCTTGAGCAGCCTGGCTAGAGGACGTGGATGTGGGAAGGCAGGATATGGGGTCTGATTAAACTGAAAACACAGGCAGTAGGTAGAGTGAAAAGAGCACCGAAATTCATAGAGCTAACTCCAAGTGGGGGCTAATTATAAAGACACACGGAAGCTCTTGGGAATGGGGACACCCTGGGGCTGATAACCTTTCCATCTCTTCTGGGCCACACAGTCTTCTTCAGGCTGTCTCCGCCTCTCCCTGCATTTCCACTCCATTCTCTGCTACCAGCCAGATCCTTGTGCATCTCAAGAAAAGACTGGCCCAGCTCTATCCGTTGCCAGGCTACAGGCCAGTCAGGTTAGTTGAGTGGTAGCAGGGTCATTGTTAAGAAAGCCTGGCTGCCAGACCATCCTTCAGCTTAGGTGGAAAAGATCTTCGTTGGAGGAGCTGTTGTCAACTGACTTCTTTAAGAAGCAAAGTTCACCTTTGCTGAATCTAGAGTTCCTTCTCAGATCATGCTTAGACTTTCAAAGAGAAAAGAGATGATGGTCTTAAAGAATGAAATGACTTTTGGAGACAAGACAGTGTGCCCCTTGGATAAGAGTGCAGCCGAGGTGGCAAGTCTGTGTTATGACAGTTCTTCGGCAAGCCCTTCATTTTTGGTTGGAGCTCAGAATGTGGGCCCATTATGTCACCAGTCTTCTCTGGTTTTCCCAACCCTTTCTAGCCTGAGCTGCTTCTCCCAGCTCATCACCCAATTGTGAGAAACACCTGTCCTAGTGGAAAAAGCCTGGGCTTTCCACTACACTCCTGTGTTCAGATCCTGGTGCTTCCAGATATCAGCCGTGTGCCCTTGGCAAGTTGCTTCATCTTCCTGAGCCTCAGCGTCTTCAAGGATATGCGTACAATTCTAGGGGTGCCTGGGTGGCACAGTCGGTTAGGTGTCCGGCTCTTGGTTTTGGCTCAGGTTGTGATCTCAGTCGTGAGATTGAGCCCCATGTTGGGCTCCATGTTTAATGGGGAGTCTGCTTGAGAGTCTCTCTTCCTCTCCCTCTGCCCCTCCCGCTCGTGCTTGCTGTCTCTCAAATAAGTAAATCTTTAAAAAAAATACACACACACACACACACACACACACACACAGTTCTGATCACATTCCCATCTACTATCCCCACACCATACCCATATAATACATGTGTATACGTGTGGAATACAAATGACATACAGATTGCCAGTATAGACACTTACATAATACAGGGAAACAGAAGAAGCGATTGTGTGGCCGCCATTGTTTTACTCACTCCTCCAGATCCTTTCCGATTTGTCGACAGTAGAAACAGTCTTCCTGTAACTCCAGCTTCTTCATAGAATCCTCTATATGTTTTCTTTCTCTAACTGGACCCTATGCCATGAACCTTCAGTCCTGAAGGGCTGGCTCTGTTCCCCCACGTTCTACCCCCACAGGGTAAGGAGATGGTGCTGGCATCCCTTTGGTGTCTGGCTTCTCCTCTTGTTCATAAACCCTATCACACTGAATCCCATACCAGTGGGCTCTGTCACTCCTTGTCACTATTTTGCTACCATCCATGGCCATCTCTTGGAGCGTTTTGGAATCTGCTCAGATACCCTCCCACCCCGATTTGCTCCATAAAGAGGTTGTCTGCTATGAGCACTTGGTCCTCCTTCCCACACAACTGTGGGTTCCCCGTGCTCCTCTGCGCATTCAGCAGAAGGAGTTGGTGTCCTCTTATACACCAGGCTCCCGGGTGCAGATGTTGAAGTGGACATATGCGGTCCCTGCCCTCACTGAGCTTATCTTCTTCCCTAGAAATCCTTTTTCTTTCCTATATATGTGCCCCTGTTCCCTGTACACAATCGGGAGCTTTCCCCATCCTTAAACATGCATCTTTCTCCTTCCTGCAGACCTTTCAGCTGCCACCTCTCCCCTCATCTGGGCTTCTCCCTCCTTGCCCTGAGAGTGTCGCCACTGCCACTGGTACCTCCCACTGTACTGCAGCTCCTGAGGAGAAATCCCAGATGCCATATCCGTTGGAAATTTGCTCTTCTTATTTTGTCCTCTATTTGACATTGTAGAGGACCAGTCACTTCTTCCTTAAAAATTCTCCTTTCCCTTTGCTGGCATGGCCCAACCCCTACTTCACTGTTTCATTATTTCTCCCCAGGCTCCTTTGCTTTCTTCTCAGCCACCTCACGTGCTTGGGGTTCTTTTCCGGTCTTGAATGTTGGTCTGCCCTGCAGTTCTCTCCTCAGCCACCCTTTCTGCCTCCCTGCACACCTCCTGCGTGGTTTTAACCCACCTGTGTTTTTGTCCCCACTTCGACAGGACAGTCCTGAAGCTGCCTCAGCTCCAGCAGGCCCAGCGTGGAGCTCTCAGTGGCCCTGCCCTTACCCTGCACCTTCTCTTTCCTTGTATCCCCTGTTTTTTTGTTGGGCTCTTTTATCAAGACCCTACACCAGGGTCTTTTCTAGTCCCACCTCTTCTCTGTCCTCAAGCATTTCACATTAAATTGGTCCCCAGCACCTTTCGGTTATTCCCCCTGAACATCTTAATCTCTCCTTCTCTCATAGTCGATGTCTTTTACAAACTATTATAATTGCCTATTTTTAAAAAAAATCTTTAATTTTTTGCTTATATAAAATATACAGGGATCCAGAGATAAATAAATCATAATCTCTGCCCTTGGGAAACTCATGGTCATGGCCAGCCATGGGCTTGTAAGCAAATGCATCCAGGGCCATGGAGGGTTGCACACAAGGGAGCAGGTGTTGTCTGCTGGGCTGTACAGGTGCGAGATGAGGCGGCAGTTGGTAAAGGTGCAATTTGTGGCCGATTGCTCTCATGCTGACACCCTGGAATGTATTTCTGGCCTTCGGTTTCTGTCTTACATTCTCTCCTTTTGCACATTTGTAGATTTCCAAGATCTGCCGTGTGCCAGGTTTGTGACACCTTACACAGGTTGGTGGGCGTCTTTCTAGTAATCTGACCTTTATTCAGTTAAACTGCAGAGAGAGACATTTGGGAATTAAAAAAAAAAAAAAGGCCCTAACCAATATACGTACAGGGATGACTTCTCTGACACTCCAGGTATCTTTCTGAGTTACATGAGGCCTAACTCAAAAACTAGACCCGAGTGTACCCACAAAATTAGCTTAGCCTGGGACACACCCAAAGCTCACAGTTCTGTTTTGTTTTGTTTTTGTTAATTCTTTGTTTATGCATCCCATACTCTGTAGTGTTATCAACATGATCAGAGTTAGCGGATCTAAAAACTAGGCTCTAACGTAGCAGCTCACATATTCCTACCCATTGAAATGAGAGTTACACTAGTCTTGTCGCCTTCTTTGTTTTCTGGACGCCCTCCTCCCACGTCCTACACCCCGGCCTGAAGCAGGCGAGTCAGCCTGCATCTGATAGCCTCACTGTCGGAGAAAAGCAGAAGACCATCTCCTCCAGCAGTGCCAAAGGAAAACCGATTCTGTGGATGCCTAAACCCGCCCTTCTGGTGTTTGCTCCCATTGTCTCCCTGTCTGTGAACTTGGCCACCCTGACAAAATGTTAACCTAGCACATGGGAATGGAGGCCGTACTTCAGAAATGTGCTTCAGCAAACTGTGTTCTCAGAGGGCGTGTGGAGCTGCCAGGGATCATTCTGGAAGAGTCGGGAAACCAGGGTCCTATTCCAGCTCTTCCAGGAGGGAGCTGCGAGTAGGCTTACCTTACCATGGCCCCGGTTTTCCTCCCTTGAGAGTGGACACGGCCCTTTCCGTTGGTAATTTTTTCAGCACACACTTCCCCAGCTCTTTGCAGAGCCTCCTGGGTTTATCACTCAGGCTTTGGGTTAGTGACCCGCCACCTACCATGCCTGATTCTGTCAATGTCCGTCCTGTCACTTGGCCGTGCTGGTGAGTTTGTGTGTGCCCTCTCAGCCGTCTACACCCCAGTAGAGCACAGGCCCCACGAGGCCAGGGACTCACGTGTGGCTCTGGCTTGTTACCGTATCCCGGTGCCCCGCTGTGTTCGGGTGTTGGGCCTTGCTTGCGTGCGGGGTAGTGAAGTCTCCGCAGGCCCCCGGCCAGACGCTGCTCTGGTGTGGTGGGCTCTGCGTTTTCTCTGCCGTGTTCACATCTGCTAATCTGTCTTTTCAGGAGCCCAGCAGCCGGGGCTGCCGTATTACACCGACCCTGGAGGACCGGGGATGAATCCCGCCGGAAATACTGTGCCGATGGCTTTCCAGGTGCAGCCCAACTCACCCCAGGGAAGCATGGCCTACCCTCCGCCCCCTTCTTACTGCAACACGCCCCCGCCCCCGTACGAACAGGTGGTGAAGGCCAAGTAGCGGGGCGCTGCCCGGCGCCTGCCTGTGCGACCTCACGGGGGAACGGGGAGGGGCGCTCTCACCGCACCTCTCAGTCCCCATCAATGTTCGCTTCTGGGAATTGTCTTCTGAGCCACTAAGGGCAAATTCCTCTTTGATATCTTCAAAGCAAGCACAGCTCCCTTTCAAGTTTTCTGTGGAGGACCAATATTTGAATTTATCCTGTGTCTCCTCTGTTGCTTCTGTTTCTGATGTAATCTGAGCTCTGGCAGAGTGTGGACAGTCCCCAAGGGTTGACACCCTAGATCCTCGGGAGAGAGACTAAGGAGAAGGAGGCAAGGCAGGGCCTGTGTGTGCAGGTGAGCGCAGGTGAGTACGAGGAGGGGACCGCTCCTGGCCCAGGCACACAGCAGGCAGCTCACGGCAGTGAGGCGCCCCAGGCTCCACTCTTGGAGACCCTCGTCCTGTCAGTCTTCCTCTTCAGGAAGCTATGAGGCTCTGCTGTGGGAGAAGCTTCCTAGCATTTCCTGTCTCCACTCACTTCCTAGAGATGACAGTGGCTTCCCTTCTGCGTAGCCAGGGCCGGGAGGGGACTGTGTACCTCAAGGAGATGCGGATCCAGATGAGGTCAAGTTCGGATGTGGACAGTTACCCGAAAATCACGAAGGAAAGTTCCTGCAATTTATGGGAAATGGATTCCTGCGTCAAACTGGGACATTGCATTTTATGAACTCTTGGTCTGACTGGGCAAAAATAAAAGGGTTCACCTCCCCGCCATCCCTCCCCCCCCAGCCCGACTTTCTAGAGAGTCTGTGGAAGCTCGTGTAGAGTCCTGTCCTTTAAGGTCAGAGCATCTTCTCTGGACATCAGCAGCTGTCTGACCAGAGGTCTCCACACCCTTCCTTCGGCAGCCCTGGCGGTGGTTGTGATGGACACTTTCCAAGCGAAGAGGCACTGCCAGCTGGGAAGTCACACCATCCCCTTGGAGAGTGGTGACCCAGCAGGCTCCCGCCAGTGGTTTCAAGCCTGGGGCAGCAGGCCAGGCCTGCAGTTTGATGTCAGCAGATGTGTGTGTATATTGGGGCGGGGGGTGTTCTCTAAAGAGGAAAAGCTTGCTGAAAAAAGAGGAATGCAAAATCCCAGGACTGCAGGAAGATCTCTTTAAAAAGTACTAAGTAGATTTCACTGACGGCTTAATCAAAACGAGAGTAGAAGATGGGTTTGGAAATGCAAACCCTGGCAGAGAAGCGTGTTTCACCGTGGCTCTAGCGAGGGGTCACTGGGCTGAGAGGAAGGTCCAGTCTCTGCAGTAAGCAGTGCTGGCGGTGCAGGTAAACCCCCGGAGATCCGGCCCCGGGCGTGTGTAGGAACGGAAAGCAGCGTAGCCCAGATGGGAGGGTCCCTGTGTGTGTAGTAGTGGGATAGGGCCGGCAGGTGGCGGGGGGTTATTTTTGTAATAACTAATTGGACCAGCCTCTTGAGAAATTGTTACTCATTGGACTTGAGCTTCAGAACATGTCACTGGAGTGGATGCTGAGTGTTCTCATTCCCCCAGACCAGGAGTCTGGGCGTCCCTTTCCTCCCGGGTGACAGATCAGGATAGGACTGCAGCACCTGCTCAGAATTACCTCCCTGCGAAGATAGAGAACCTGCAAGCCTCCCAGGGAATTCCACAGGAAATGCTGGGAGCTGAACACAGGCCCTTGGAAACAGGTTTTAAACACAGATGCTGCTGCTGGTGTCTTTGGCCAGCCTCGTGTGACCTCCAAACTCCTGTCCCTGACAGCAGTACCTCCCCTCATCTCGTCCTTGATCCAAAGGAGACAACAAAGCACAACGTTTGCTGTTTACAACCAAGGACAACTACGTGGGTCCAGAAGGTTCCTCTTCTTCCGGGTCATTCGTCTTGCATTTTTGACTTAAATTTCTCCCTTCCCTTTTCTTTTTTTTTTTTTTTTTTTTTTTGGTCTTAATGAAGAAGCACAGTAAGGGCCGCCCCTGGAATCGGATCCGGGTGCAGTTGAATAAGCACCCAAATATCCATGACTAAATTTCATTTCTCTTTTTGATAACAAATGATCTCAGAGACTGAACGATTTAGGTAGTGCTCAACAATTTTGTATTCCATGTTTGTGAAGATAAATTTTGTTTTCCCTCGAACCTGGGTGAGAACCCTGCTACAGCAAACGCTGCTACTGTGTGTAGAAATTCCACTCGTGGTGGCATCTCCTGGCCCTTCTCGTCCCGTCTGTGCTGACAGTGGACTGTGTCCCCCTCCCGGAGTAGGTCCAGCTCCTGGTGTGTCGAAGTCTTAGAGAGTCAGTGATTAGGAGTAAGCTGGGAGCAGATCTGTGCATGTTTTTCCTCTGCAACGTTTGGCTCATTTCTCTTTTTTGTTCTCTTTTGATAGAGTCCCATTTCCTATGTATGCAAAATAAAAAATAAATTTGGGCACGTGCTTCGACTGTTTTGCTGGGAAGGGGGAAAGAGGGTGGAAACGAAGTTTCTAATGAGGGAGGACACACAGTGGATCATGGGTCATACATGGGTCATCCCCACCCCCAGGTGGGGGTGGGGTAGAGGAGGCCGCGTGTTGCCCTCAACCTCAGGAGCACCAGCAATTAGAGGCCGTCAAAGAATGCAAGGGACGTTTGGTTCACCAATACATTTTTTAAAAGTCTGGCTAAGGAAAAAATAATCTGAAGCAAGTAGAAAGAAGCATAAATTAGACAAACGCACAGGTAATACTGAAATTAGTTATCCAGGGGGCCTGGATCTGCTTTCCATGGGTAGGTGATCCTTGATTTTAAGAAATGCAGCTTTTGTGTGCCTGGATGGCTCAGTTGGCTGAGCGTCCGTCTGACTCTTGGTCCCGGCTCAGGTCTTGATCTTAGGGTTATGAGTCCAAGCCCTGCGTTGGGCTCCACCCTGGGCATAGAGCCTGCTTAATAGAAAGGAAGGAAGGAAGGCAAGAAGGGAGGAGAGGGGAGGGGAGGGGGGGGAAGAGAAAAGAAAAAAGAGAAAAAGAAAGGAAGGAAGGAAAAGAGAGAGAGAAAGAAAAAAGAAAAGAAGGAAGAAAGGGAAGGAGAACAGAAAGAAAAAGTAAATACAGCTCTGCTGGGTCAGAAACTGTAATTCTCTCACAGATCTGTTGGAGGGTAAAGCTGCTATAGTCTGCATTTTAGATGAATCCCTAAGTGAGATAATGTTTATAAAGAAACATTGGATCTTAAAACAGGACAGAGCATAAGCCAGAAGAGGTCAAGGAGCTTCCTCTGATGAAGTCGGGGCTAATTTTCAGGACACCCCCACCGGGTTATCAGCTCCCCCCAGCAAACTGGAAGCAGCCTTATTTACAAGTCAGAGGTCTTAACTTGAGATGGCAGACGGTGACTGAGTGCTCACTTTTCTCTGTTCCTTCCAAATGTCATTGAACTTCAAGAAATCTGTAATGGCTCTCAAGGCAAAAAACATACAAGACAGAAATTTGGAGTAATTCTTAACTAGAAGATGCCAGCTGGGATTGATTGGGAGAGAAGACTGAAGCTGAAATGTTCAGAGACGGTGGCTGGGGAGGCGAGAGCTTTCCAAAATGTCCAGAGTGAGGCTCGCAGGTGCAGAGAGCAGGCATGGGCCAGGGCCCCTTGCCAAGGTGTTGACCTGTGGGCGTTCTGCAGAACAGCTCTGCCAGGGGCCGTGTTCTGTGCCCCAGGCCCCCAGGTAAGGGGAACAGCTAGTCCGGCAGTCTGTTTCTCGCAGCGGGGACGCTCTGTGTCCTAAGGCGTCGGAAGGTGGGTTAGTGGAATCATTATGTAATTTTTAAAAGTGAGGTAAGCATTTTCTAATGTATTAGTCAATTAGAACAAGTATTTTCTAATGTATCAGTCAATGAAAACATTCATAAGCCGGGCTGCCATCCCTTTCCCACAGCCCTGGTTGCAAGGTTATAGATAGATCCGTGCCAAGGAGAAACCCAAGGACCTGTGAGAAATCATGACCACAGGCAGGGAGGTTTCCCATGGCCCCGGAGGAAAAGTCAGCTGAGCCTTCTCTTGACTTGCACTGCACCAGCCTTTCCACCCAACTGGCCAAGCATCTCTCAGCTGAAGTGATCCTTAACAGTTTCAAGTTCTCAATTGCTAATACTCTTTCAATGCCAACGATGACAGCACAAAGTAGAGATGAGGGCAAACCGCGTGGGCGTAGCTACCCACTGTGTATCACGGCCGGACTGTGGGCTCCGAAGACGGACAGCCTTGCTCCCGCCCTGCGTCTGCTGTTAGCTTGTGTCTTCAGACAAACGGCTTAAGTTTCCATCACTCAAATGATCTCAGGTCTGTTTCCTCAACTATAAGAGAGAATTACAGTACCTGTTGCTTATACGAGGCTTGTACCAGGCACACTATGGAGAGTCATCAAATACTGAAAATCCTCTGTTCTCCCTCATTCCACAGTTCCTTTAGCAAGAGTAAAATTAAAGCACAGTGGGACAGAAAAATTTCCCACCTTTCGGACCCTGATTACATAAAGGTAGAAAACACATGGTGTGTGCTGCCCGGCACTGGGAGTTTTTCCCTCACCATTTATTTAAGATGCGATTGGTGAGCACCCCCAGAATAAGCCACGAATTACAAGCAATATTCTTCTATGTTTCTATTACTTTAGGTATTTCTTTTGCTGTCTCCCATCCCCCCAGAACTTGTCATTGTAATGTTCCTGCTTTGGATTGGCTGTCTTGCGCTATCCAAGAGGGATCCTGCTTCATTCCTGGGCACAGAGCCCTCCTAAAATGCTATGGGGGATTGATTATGATTATCAACATGCTTCTCTCCCTGCTGCCACCCTTGAAGAAGGCAGAGGGAGGGAGTGCTTGTGCTGGTCCCAAGAGTATGAAGAGGGAGGTGGAGCATCACTCCCATCTCTTTTCAGCAGTCACAGGAATGCTGGCGGGAGCTGCTTTTGTCTCTCTGGACTCTGGAAATTGCAAACAGTCCCGAGGTCCTGGAATCATTTGCCACAGACCTGGTACTCATTGTGCAGGAGCAGGAGAATGATACCGGGCATGTACCTTTGGAAAGTGCCCAGACACAAGCCCTTACAAACAATTCTTCATGTTTTGTGGAAG